TCATGGAATAATGCATGTCCCTCACTACAGAACTTATTCCACCAGGACATATATCTTTAAGTGGAGGTTTGGAGCAATTTGATTTTAATGTAACCATTTGGAAAGCTGAAAAGGCAGAGGAGAGAACTGCATTGACCTGCCTAAATCGTAACATCTAATAATGCCCCCAAGATAAAATATCAGCAAAACAGTTCCTGTGAAATGCAGTTTGTAGACTGGCAGCCAGAGAATGAGTTGCCACAATATTCCAAAGAAGTACTTAGATATTTGTGTAACTACTTGATGAGTCAATGCAAGAACCTGTATTTCAGTCATAGGCCTGCCTTGCTTGGATGCAAATACAGCCTGAGCTGGACTCTAGCCCACAGGCTTGGATGTTGCCCAAGCACTGGATCCCGATGGGAAACAAAACTTAAAATCATTCCACCCTTTAACAAATGAAGATGTTTAGGCAAAAAATCTGTAAGATAACTAAGTCCAGCTTCCTCTTCAACGTGTCTGGCATCACCTCCTGCCAGCAACTGTAGGTTTTGTATGCAATGGCTACTAAAGCGCATATTCTTGTGCACTACGTACTTTAGTCATTCTCAGACTCTCAGAGCACTGTAGACACAGGCAGCAGCGGCTTAATGCTGCACTCGGTCTGAGTCTCCATGTTTAACATGGAATACCTTCTTATGTATAGATTATTTCTAGAGACTTTTACACTGGTGCCAGCACAGATAACAGTTTGAGTGGCTTTAATATTTACAGATTCTGCTCCATTAAACCAGTTGCAGTGTGAAATGTAAATGCACACTGGGTTAACTGTTTAATCCCTATTTGCACATCTGGCACAGTGCTCAAGGACTGTGGTCCAAGAATAGTAGTATTCTCAGGCTTTGTCCCAGAACTGTTCAGCATCACCGAGTAGATGATGACGCTACATTTCTAACATCCAATTAGTGCTAGCAGTGAACAGTGAGACCCACACAAATGCCTCAGAAAAGCAAAACAGAATGGCTTGTTTCTAAAGAAGCATGTCCAGCAGGTCAAGGGAGGTGATTCTGCCCCTCTACTCCGCTCTGCTGAGACCCCACCTGGAGTACTGCATCCAGCTCTGGAGTCCTCAGCACAGGAAAGACATGGACCTGTTGGAGAGGGTCCGGAGGAGGGCCATGAAAATGATCAGAGGGCTGGAGCACCTCTCCTATGAAGAAAGGCTAAGAGATTGGGGTTGTTCAGCCTGCAGAACAGAAGGCTCCAGGGTGACCTTATTGCAGCCTTTCAGTACTTAAAGGGGGCCTACAAGAAAGATGGAGACAGACTTTTTAGTAGGGCCTGTTGCAATAGGACAAGGGGTAACGGTTTTAAACTGAAAGAAGGTAGATTTAGATTGGACATTTTTTACAATGAGGGTGGTGAAACACTGGAACAAGTTGCCCACAGAAGTCGTGAATGCCCGATCCCTGGAAGTGTTCAAGGTCAGGTTGGATGGGGCTTTGAGCAACCTGGTCTAGTGGAAGGTGTCCCTGCCCATGGCAGGGGGTTGGCCTAGATGATCTTTAAAGGTCCCTTTCAACATAAACCATGCTATGATTCCACAACAATAACTGGGCCTAGAAAGAAGGGCATAGAAACGAGATCTTTTCTCAACTGAAAAGTAGACCAGGTTAATCACAAATCACTTCTCAGTGTGAACTTCCTCATCCACAAAAGGTTCTCAGCAGTAGGATTTAACTCAAAAGGTAGAGGTTCAGTCTCTAGCAGGAATCAGAGATGATTTCTGTAGACTTTATTTGGGGTGTGATGGGTAGATGTCTTTCCTGCATTTTTGTGCATCTAATAACATAAAAGCACATCCCAAGTAGCAAACTCCAGTAAGGATGGAAACTCTCTTCTGTAATGAACTTTGCTGGCACTGAGGCTTTCCTAAAGGATGAAGAAATGGAGGCCAGACCTCTCATTGTCCTTGGAGCAGAACAACAAAAAGATTAATCTCTTTTGAGACTTCTAGCACCATATCCAGCATCAAAAATGAGACTCTTTTTGGCTTTATACCGGTCCCAGCATTGGTCAGGACATGACTAACACTGTGGGTTTGTACTACATGCAAACCATGGGTTCTCAAACAACTTCTCATCTCCTGGGTCTGGGTACACAAGCTCACTGCATCTTGACCTTTACCCTCTTCCCTTCTCTATCCCCTGTTTTCATGAAACACAAACTTTACTGCACGGATGGGAGCCATGGTGCATCCCGTGCAGCCTCCAGCCAAGACAGTTGGGGATGCTGGGCCATGCAGCTGCTTCACTGGCTGTGTGGGCACAGTTTAAATATATTGCTGTGGGTGAATAAAGCAGATCATTCTCAAAGTCCTTGACCCTGTTTTTGAAATAGCATAGTATAGGCCTGGACCAGTAAAATTACTTTCCTCTGACAGCAAACTGAAAAGTCATTTATATATCTTCCCTGTCTTCTGCTGAAATCATTAATATAATAAAAACTTGCTCACATGAATATCACACACCCAGTAGAACAGCTCTGAATTTCTCATTTCCTTTCTGTTCCTGCTATAATTAAAACAAAACATTTGATCTCCTTTTAGACAACATTTGGACCTGGTTTTCTGCCATGGTTTCATTGGATTCTTGAAAACATTTTCATAGAATCATAGAATCATTTAGGTTGGAAAAGACCTTCAAGATCATCGAGTCCAACCATCA